TTCGACCAACTCTTAGAGTATTGGCGCTTCGTAGGGGTTTAAACAGTTATTGAGCCATTGGTATTTACATAAGTCATGCACTTTAATGCTACTATTTGTCCAATGCTACTGACACAAGAATATACATATAAATATGCTAGCTAAATTTTGTTAGGGAATGCGTCGTACTCGATTAATTTTATAATGTAAATTGAAAAATAATCAATCACAACTATAATTTATTTTTATTTTAACATTAGTGTTGTGGTTGATTATTTCTTAATTCACATTATAAAGTACCACAAGATATCTGCTACCACCACTGAATTTAATTTTATATTTATTTGTATAAATATACTTTAAAACTGTTTAAGTACACGAAAAAATGTTTGTAAACCGTACGAAAGCTTTATTTATTATAGTTATGAATGTCATTAGACTGATAAAAAGCTAATACCAGTCTCTGCTAAGGTTTGTAAACCGAGGCGATAGCTCAAGTTGAGAATCAACCCAGTGTGTTATTTCTGTTATCAAGTATGTGTTCAATTCTGTTTGTTACACCATCTTATTAGGAAATCATATAAACAAGAAAACACGATTTATTTGTTGGTTTTAACTATAACACTACAATAGTTCATTTTTCATTGATATTACAATCCCATAGATTTTAAGACAGTTCATTTAAAACTCATTTAATTATGATAGACATGCTGTTGGGTCTAATTACTTCATTAGTACAACGTTTCGACGATAGTTGTTCGCCTCTTTCAAATACTAGGATTTTTTAAATTATTATAAAATTGTTATAATTGTTATGAACAACCGTTTAAAATAATTGTTGAAACTATTTTTCCAGTCCTTGAAAAAGACTAACAACTATCATCAAAACGTTGTACTAAGTAACTAATTAGATGAAAATCTATGTGTCCTACTTAAAAAAGTTTTAATTATTAAAAGAGTTACTGTCTTCAAATCAATTCAGACTTAATATCAATGAAAAATAAAAACAGATTCTTGGAGTAAGTGTACTCATAAGCCATCTTTAGGTATCATCTTATTTGTTTCATTTGTTCTTAGGCCAAAACTTATTTGGTGCAAATGTTCATTAGCTAAAACTTATTTGTTCCAATTGTTCTTAACGGACGGCATCCGTTAAGAGTGGCGTTTTATTCCTTTGGTTGCATTAAGTAGTTTATAACAATAAGGTATTACAAATATATAATGGTCTTCGTAAAATACACAAAATAGTGTAGTAATTTGTTGTTCAATACCACTCATCACATAAGTAAAACAATTTGAGACTGCAAGACGGATCTATCATTCTGATATACGAACATAATCGACACGAACTACATATTTATTGAATCTGAAATTTTTTACTGCGTATTATTCTCCTAATAAGACCTTGTAGGATATCTACTATTTTACTCTGGCATCTACACATTATTTATAAAATGACGCCTGAGCAAATACTAAAATGCTACCGAACTTCAAATTGAAAAATGAATTTTACTCCTTTTTGGATCTGAATGATCATTCATAACAAAAAATATACACAATGTCTTAATTAACATTACTGATTCAAGATCCAAACATTTGCTTCCACCCAGGAAGAAGTGCGCTTATTTTCATTTACATGTATTAGTTCCTTTCCCATGGGAGCGATCATTTCAATTTCAAATGATTTTTCAAAGTTCATAATCGCTGTGATATATGACGTAAGATAATCCCTCGGATCGATTACCGTAACCCGATTATTCTCGAGCTAGCCGGGGCCTACTTGGACCGCGAGGCATGAACGAGATAATGTGCAGTCAACGAACAAGAAAGTTAGGCAATGCTGTCAGATCGCCTTATGCAACCCGCAGCACTTACTTGTATGACGAATTTGGCAAAATCCTTCCTTGGAGGGCAAGATAAACTATTGGTGCTACAGAAGTATTTTCTTGCATCATTTTTGACGCCTACAAAACAGCAGTTCAACCCGTATAAGAGTTTCTAACCTGCAAAATGATACGCCCACGCTGAGATTCGAAATCAGCTACATAGTTTTGCAAGCCCTTCACTCCTTCGCTGCTACTAACTCTTTAGTTTTCACATGTCAACATTCATAACGCTTCAAAACAAATGTCAACATTTCAAAGGTTCTAATGAAAATTGTATCTAAAGTTCTAAATGGCGAACAGATTTCAAGGCTTCAGACGTCAAAAAAACGAGTTTACGTCCAAACATGTCAGGTTAATCGCGAAGATTGGAAGTAAGTGGTAGATCTATTGAAATACATTCACGTTCATCCATTTTAATAGCTTAAGATTCATCGTATGTTCAACAGGAGAACGTAAGCAATGCTATTTACGCTTACGTTAACAACTCTGAAACTCGTGATCAACACTTACAAGTATTCTAAAAAGTCACATACTTACAACACGTTATTTTACCTCTGACATATATCAATGGCAGTAATTTTTATAAGACTATGTAGACTACCAATTGAAAAAAAGGGGCAGAACTCGGTGCAATGCATAGTGGCATCTTAAAGAAGATTGTAGTTTCACGATGTCATAAAAAATACAAAAGAAAATTGCAAATTCATACACTTATGTCCAAAGATAATTATAGTATACCCAGAGTATACATTTGTAATGGATTACAAATGTAAGTTTTCAATAAATCATAAACATTTCATACATATTTCTTAAATTACTATTCAACTGGACTCATAATTTGAGAAATCAACATATTTCATATGCAATGAGGGTTTTCGTATTCTGCTAAAACTAGAAGGAATAGTTACTTAAAGAAAGACTATGTTCACGATATTTTCAAAGACAGGTTTATTTACAACCTTCAAGTTTCGTTCGTTTCGTGAAAATTCTCTTTCTCCGCTGTGGATCTCTTCTGCTTCTACCCCTCGTCTACGAGTCTGCATGTATTGAGTAATCCGATAAATTACATTCGGCACATTTTATAACGAATTCAGTCACTTCGTTGCGTATTTTCTTCGTTTTCTGCGTAAACACGGAAAAACCTCTTTTTCGAACTACGCCGTTGCTTGTGACGAGGACAGAATATTCCCAGTTACAGGCAAGACAGCTGCACAAATTAAATTTACTCTATAACGCAAAAGGGCATACACGACGAAGGTTAACCACAAATTTGCAAAAGTAATTTCACTTTCCATACTATTAGGTAAAACTGAATTTAAAATAAACTAGAAACGAACTGAAATCCCTTTTCACTTCAATCTATTCAATCTATAAATACAGAAATAGTAAATCGGAACATCGAATCATCTCCAAATACTCAAATATTTTCCATGACAACAGCGAAGTCCAGAATATTCCATTGATTTTCACTGACATTTCATACTTTATTTTTATTATATACAGATGTCCGGGGAGAAAACTTCGAAAATAAGCTCTTAAGACAATTTTAAGCATATTTTTGCTAATAAACTACTTCGAAATTCCAAATGGCTAAGCCGCAATAAGCACTCAAAAGTTGGTTTGAAAAAATGCTTGAAAAAATGTTTGAAAAATTTGCATTGCAGAGGCAAATTTTTGCCTAGAAGACAGAAATATGTAAATTGTTTATTATTTACTAAATAATTGATATATTTGTCAAAAAGAAAAATTAACCCAGAAATGAAAAAGCAGTCGAAGTATGTAAATTGGGTTATTAAATTATTAAATTCATTAAAAAATGGAAACTGGTACATTGTATTTGGAGATTTTCCGAGTTTCTCGTATCTAATGAAACCACAGACATCATTCACGTCACATGAGACTGCATTATGCAACGATTGGAAATTAGCAACATAGATTATTCAATGCAACGAATATTTTTTTCTCAACTCACAGCGTTTAACTGTCATTCAATCGTCGGACATCATCAGAATCAACTCGTAAATATATCTTAGGTCATATTTCAAAGATCTCTCTTCTCCATTGCAGTACTGATCTCTTTTACTTGTTTAAAAATATTTATTGTCACGTCTGTGATTCACGACGAATTAATCTCAATCTTGTTTTCTGCACAGTTTTTCATCGATTCTTGGAGACAATGTTTAGTTAGTTTATTGTTTTCCTTAGAGCGTCGAATGTAGTTTTTTCCTCGTAAGTATTTCGTACACTTCAGACCTTTCACGGACGTTAATAAATTATTGAAATCTCTCTATATTATGTCACTAAGAATTGCAAACATTTTTTCCTCTTTATAAAGTAATGTTAATAACGCAATTGCAGAAATGAGAACTAACGCAAGGTGTGTGAATACTTTATTTAAGATTTTATTAACCCATTCATAAAAAAACTTAAAATAAACAGGTACAAATGCAACTTGCAACACAGGTTGCTCTGCAATAAACGTTAGCATCGTAAATAATAATAATAATAATAATAATAATAATAATAATAATAATAATAATAATAATAATAATAATATCGTGAATAACTTGAAAAGAACGCGAGTATGATGTCAAGTATCACCCATGCCGAGGAAATCGACTGCGATATACCAGAGCTAGTAGGAAGCGCCACCTCTTAATTTTTTATTTATTAATGTATTCATTTATCGCCAAAAATAGTGAAAACTATGAGACTATTAGGGCGAAATATAAACTGCGCACATTTTCTTTAGCTCAGGAATCCCTACCCTCTTTTCTGAGGACGAGGTTTTACATGTAGAGTGAAAGAGTCCGTTCCAGCACACCTATAGTATATGCCATGCGTGTGGACCAGCAATCGTCTGAGACTTTCTGCAGTGCACAGCAACTACACGCCTATCATATCGCTCATCACTCGCGCATCACATCAGAAGCCAATATGGTTCAGAAAAACTCGAGTGATTTGAAACAGTGACAGATAAATAGTTTCCAAAGTGAAAAGGTGCTTTTCGGATACGTAGTTCTAATGAAAATATTCAAGTGTATGGCATTTTCAATTTATGTATATAACTATGTCCGTAAAACAATTTTACTTAATTCCTTGAACAGTCAAAACATCTTTTAGAAGTTTACTTACCAACAACATGAATGACGATCCCGTGATCTTCTGTGTGTTTGATTGTGACCACTCCTCGTCCCTGAAGCAGAAAAAAAGAAACGTTACTTGGGTACTAATCATAAACATACATCATAATATTATTCAGAATAAATAATTGTTTCACACGACAATCATTTATAGCAATATTTACAGCAATATTTACAGCAATATTTACATTAAACATCAATGAACAAATAGGTCGGATTAAATTCAACTATTCTGAAAGCACGTTAAATCACATTCATATTTTATGCATTTGATAAATTGTTCTACATGACCTATAAGTCAAACAGAAACAAAATAATGTCTTAGCAGTGCAATGATGCCTCATGAACCCATAATAACCGTCGTCATTAAAACAGTCCGGAATGCTGAAGCACATTTTATCGCTTGGGATCGTGGGGTTCCAGCGTGCTAAGACCGCAGAATATTCTTGTATAGCCAGCAGCTGCGGAGAGATCATGAGAAACTACGATTTTTGTTCAACCTATAAAAAATATAATTGAAAGCACAATCTTGAAAGATTAATAAATTTATGGAACAAGTTTCACTTAGGGAAGAATTACAAATCATTGGGTAAACAGTCAAGTTAGTTTGACGGTTTAGACATACTAAATATTACATCCAAAGGCCAATCTTCGAAGAATTCGAACCTAACTATTCTAGTGAAAACTTCACATCACTCGCAAGCGGGATTTTTCGAGATTTGTAACCAACACCACTGCATCTACTAATCCTTTCTAGAGGGGAAATATCCAAAGTGAATTTCTAGCACTTAATCCGCCTCAACCATAGAACTGATTTGACACCCAAACAGCTCTGGATTCTCAACGTGTCAACGTTATGAGAAGCAAAAAACTACAATCTCTCATACTCATAAAGTGGTACTGAGACGGGAACTAAACGTGAGACACGCTCAACAGTCACACAGCAAACTGACTTCAATTTCATTCAGCTAAAGTCGTACACGATAATCACGAAAAAATCCAATTTTTTCGCCGGTAAACATGTTGCGAAGCGAACCGTTTGCATCCTTGGTGATGTTCGTGAACCCCGTCAAAGACCGCGCCGGAACGCGTGATGTGTGTGCATGTTCTCGAGGCCGTTTATCGCAGATAAAAAGCTGTGGATCCGTTCAATACCGGACGTGTGACCGCTGGGGAGTAAGCGGCGTCGGCAATTGGCGTAAAAGAGGCCAGCCGCTTATCCACGAAGACGAATGGCTCTCAAGTTCCATCAGTCGGCGGAGAGCCTCCGTTACGACGCCGCCCTTTTCGACGTGCAATCAATTCAGCTCCCGTGAGCTTCCTGGAAGTAAACACGAGCCTGCTGCTGCTGCTGACCGCTCCATCTCATCCTCGAGCCGAGGAACTGCTGCTGCTGCTGCTGCTACCGCTTCTCGTAATTGCGCAGTTTTACCTCCATGGGCCCCTCGGGAGCCCTCGAGGCCTGTTGCCGGCCGGCTATACGTTTAATGGAATTTCTGGGCGGATGTGTAGGCGCACAGTCACGCCACTCAAGCTCCTTCGGCGCGCCAGAAATCAATGCAAAATTGTTCGTTTCCAACAGTTTCTTAGATTGATGAATAAAAAGGCATAATGTTTCTCATTAATGTTTCTCATTTATAGAAGTGTCAAGACCTGTCTAAAACTCTAGTAATAAATTATTTGTTTTTCTGTGTTCTTGGAATAATAAACCAACACAATGACATTGCACTGTTATTTGTGTATTATTATTTTCTACATATTATAAAATAATTATTACACAAAAAATAAGATGCTTATATTTTTGAGAAGAGGAAAAATCTACAGTAGAGTCGGTCATACCTGCGCCATGTAAAAGAACCTTGGCTAATTGCTTGAGAAAACAAACTTCTCTCATAATTCCCGTTCTGATCATATCCAATTTTCGCTTGGCCGGGGTACGCATCAAGTAATGAGTAAGTATCACACAGGCAGTTATTGTTGCGCTTCTTGGTAACTATAATAAGTGGGCAATATTTACTGGCAACGCTGGGCGCCTAATGTGTGCCAACTACAAAAATCCCAGCCATTCGTCTATGGCGGATGTGGGCCAATTGATCACTCTTCTAGTGCTCGGGCCAACACAAACAAGTATTACAAGAAAATTAAATACGAGTAAAGAAAGAAACTAGGTCCAACAGTACCAGCGAGGTTGAGGCAACACTTTACAGCTCAAGCGTACAGTTTTTGGGATTGGGAGACCGCGGGGTGAATAAATAAATAAATAAATTCCGACAATGTGGCAGAAATTTAGTTGATGTAATCAAGTTCTAGTAAATTATGTGTTTAGCTATAATTTCCCTTTTAGAAGCCTTATCTATCTAAATCGCAGGATTAGTTAACATCATTACTGCTCGATTTCTCACGACATAAGCATATTGATCATAACTTGTATTACCTTTCTTTAAAGGGTCCATTCACAAAATGTTCGTTTTTACAGCAGAGGAGGTTCTCACAACTGTCACAAATACGAACGAAGAGAAGGGGTTGATGAAAAATGAACGACCTCACAATACTTTTTTTGTATTACTGTTTTTAATGCTTTTTATCGTGAATAGTTGGAAGACATTTGAGGTAACTCACATTTCATTGAAATGACGTTTGATGTGTTCCAAATGATACATTTTATTTGTACGTTTCCTAAAACTAAGCGTACCTCGTCAGGTCCTGTCAATAGTCACAAGAAGATTTTCAAATATCTATAAAAAACTACAAATGCAACAATTTCATATTGGGACACTATAAAAAATGTATATAAAAATATGTGCATATTAATATAAGAAATATATACCACAAACAATAATTTTAAAATTTCAAAAAAATTAAAATTAAAATTTGAAAAATTACAGATGACTAATTCATCAGAACCAAATCAATCAGAAGGTTCGAACAAATGATAACACGAAACATATTGTTAATTTATAACTCGAGACAAGCATGTTCTTTGGAATGAAGAGTTGGAATGGAAAGTCATACTGCCGTTTTTCAACTCACGAACTAAAAAATAATGTGTAGGAGGAAGGAACAGAAGGGACACTCACCTCAAGTGGAGGGGTACTAAGTGTTTACTATTTATTTATGTTATTTAGTAATCTTAGAAAGACGAATGAGCCCGATTTGCTTATCCAAAAAACTCCCCACATTTATACTTATTCTTATTTATCAGCATATTTTCTATACTCCCTAAAATAAAAATAAAACAAATCTTCCAACAGAAAACATATCATTAATTGTATATTGCAAGAAAAGAATGATAAATATCGCACATTACATCTTCGCCACTATCGAAGTGGGATGAGCTCTACACAGTGTCAAGCTCTGTAATTATATTCTTGATATGAACATATGATGATTATTACACCTAACAGGGATATATTTATCACCCTCAAGATTTACAATACTTACTGTAAAGAGTATATATTTAGTAAAATAGATTGCATTAAAAAAGTTAATGAACACTAATTAATCTTTGGTTTTATTTTCGAGAAAAGTATATAAACGTGCTTCTTGAGGGTACCACTTACCAAGTGCTTCCTCCGATATCTTTTAAACTAAATCTGAAATAATTAGATATTCGTGGAATTAATAACTTGAATGACTCTTCCAAATTCAATATTTTAAAAAAGAACGTTCACTTTAAATGAAACTCGTCGATGCATCAGACTATTAAAGAAGATCGGCGTGCAATATATCGAGTAACTTCTATTTCAAGATGTCACGAAACAAGAAAAGAACGTAATGGATATCAAATTACTTTTCTTTTCAATTTCAATATCAGTTATGGCATAAGAATATCAGAGAAAGCAATGACGTCATTTCAAATACTACTCGCAGATTTATAAAATTAAAAGGTTAGATATCAAGAGCAGAAAACATTCAGTTCAATCGCACGCAATAATTAAATTCTCAAATAAAAATAGATCAATGAATACTTTAGTGATGACGTCTTACTATTAACGTCATAGTTCTGGAATTTACTTTAGAATCACAATGAGTTTACTGGCGTTTATAATTTTGATAATAGCTGCATACTTCACTTTGTGAATAAAGAGCCCGTGATACATTGTAAAGTAATGTTTTCACACTTGAAAGTGGTTTTGCAAGAAATGGCTTTGATTTCTAACTCAATAATCTCAGCTGCATCACTAGACCTTTTCTTTAAAATAATAATTTTATTCCGATTTTAAAATGTGTTATTCAATGGCAGAGCAGCTTTCGCTGCCACAAGCCATTAGCAATTAATATACATGTTAACATTGTCAACTAATACGCTCGTCCCAAAACTATAATATTTTTTTAACTTCTGGAAAAGTGACTCGTCAGGATATTTGCATATAAGTAACTCATTCGAAATGCTTCACATTGGTTGCGACCGGTCGGCGTGACGCGGTACTGCAGACTCAGAGAAGACCTCCCACTCCGAAGGCCGCCGTCGTCGCCCTCACCGCTCTCACTGCCGAAGTACGACCGAGTTTCCATACCAAGTTTCCAGACTCATCTGGAAAGTTCTAATTCGGATATCCGGATAATTCCCGTGATCCGGACGCAACTCGAGGCCAGAGTTGAAATCTCCATCAGCGCGCAGCCTTCGCTATCACTTTCGCCCCCGTCTTCACACCCTGTCTTCGTTCTTCCGCCTTCGCCCTCCGCCTCCACCCTTTGCCTCCGCCTCCGCCCTTCGCCTCCGCCTCCGCCCTTCGCCTCCCGCCTCCGCCTTCGCCCTCCGCCTCGCCTTCCCGCCTCCGCCCTTCGCTCCGCCTCCGCCTCCGCCTCCGCCCTTCGCCTCCGCTTGCACCTCTGCCGTCCCTTCAACCTCCACCTTCGCCTCCGTCTTCCTTCAGCCTCCGCCTTCGACTCCTACACATTCGCCTTCCCATCCACCCCCGCCTTCGGTACCGCCTTCGATTCCGCCTTCGCGGCCGCTGCCGCCGCACGCCGGACGCCCGGGATCAATGCTGCGGTGCGGCCCGCGCGCGGCGCCGAGTCGATCTTTACTCTGCGAGTTTACTTCTGCGCG